CTTGCCACCTTAGGTGTATGTGGCTGGTGCCTTAGCCACTTGAGCCACAGGCACGGAGCTGACTTTTCTTTTTTTTTAATTTTAAAAATTTTTTAAATTAAATCATAACTTTGAACATTGATGTATTTATAGGGTTCAGGGTACTGCTTCAATATACAATGTGAAATCCTTACATTGAACTAAGTAACACATCCATTATACTTTTCATTAAACATTTAACCAAACAGAAATGCATTTTTAAAATGTAATTAGAGTACACAGGAAATTTATAAGCACCAAAACAAGAATTCAAATATTTCACTATTGTATCTACTTTCCTCTATTTTCCCCAGACTCAAAGGCTTCTAAAAGTCTTTATATTCAAAGCCACTACAAAAGCAAGACCTAAATTATTATGCAAAAGACTAATGATAAATAGACAAATAAGTTAAAGGACCCCCAAATTAGGGATCCATTTCTGTACTCTATAGAAATTCTGCCTATAATGTTGAATTACAACTGTTCAAACTATATAAAATGGCATTCAGGCTTGGCGCCTGTAGTACAGTGGTTATGGCACCAGCCACATACACTGAGGCTGGTGGGTTCGAACCCAGCAGGGGGCCAGCTAAAACAACTATGGCAACTGCAACAAAAAATAGCTGGGTGTTGTAGCAGGCACCTGTACTCCCAGCTACTTGGGAGGCAGAGGCAAGAGAATTGCTTAAGCCCAAGAGGTGGAGGTTGCTGAGCTGTGACGCTTATGGCACTCTACCGAGGGTGACATAATGAGACTCTGTCTCAAAAAAAAAATGGCATTCAAATTATTTGTAATTTATATTTTCATGATTTTTACAATGTGGTTTTCTTTCTGACATTACTATATACTTCAGTATTTTAATTCTGTTTTTTTCTGTTGGCTATGCATGATTTACACTTGTTCCACATTGGCTGCTTCTGTTCTAACCTTCAAGATGCTAAAACTACCACCTGCCCTAAAGCTTAGATAAATACCACTCTATTACCTAAAAATGACATGTTGTTTAAATGATAAAGTTGAAAAATAAAATATAACACAGAGATTCCAGCAATTTTACAGTAATAGATAAATCAGCCTTTCCATATTTAAATGTTCCAATGGTCAGATTTTTTAATTGAAATTTAAATTCAATTGAATCTAATTGAATTAAGATATTTGAAGATCTATGTAGTTATAAAAACAATACAGAGTGATAGCTTATGCAGTTTTCCCAGTTTCCCCAAATGGTAACATTCTGTAAAACTATAGTACAATATCATAACGATTGCTACTGATACAATCTACCAATTTTAATTTTATTTTCCTAAATTTACTTTTACTCATTTGTATGTATGAATGTGTATTAAATACTGTACAATTTTATCACCTGTGTGGGTTCATGTACCCACCACCAGAATCGAGAGCTGAATAGTTCCAGTAAGAATTCCTTGTATTGAATTATCAGATTAAGTAACTATCCAAAAATTTTCCTTGTATAATTCTAAAATAAGGGAAAATTTGTGTACTCACCCATCTGGCTAGGGCTTCTTTGATTGTTGTTGCTTTTGCCTTTAAGAAAAGAAAAAACAAGCCTGTCTCTATTGGCATGATTTATTGATTCAATTTTCATGCAATAATTACTAACCTTGGTTTCTACCATTAGAAGGATTGATTTCTTTCAGAATTTATATACTAAGAGGGTGTTGGGGGTGTTTTAATTTCCTGAAATGCGGGTGGCGCCTGTGACTCAGTAGGCCCCATATACCAAGAGTGGTGGGTTTGTTGTGAGCTATGTGATGCCACGGCACTCTACCGTGGGTGACAAAGTTAAAAATCTTGTCTCTAAAAAGTGGGTAGGGCGCCTGCCCCATATACCGAGGGTAGTGGGTTCAAACCCGGCCCTGGCCAAACTACAACAAAAAAAATAGCCGGGCGTTGTGGCGGGTGCCTGTAGTCCCAGCTACTCCGGAAGCTGAGGCAAGAGAATCGCCTGAGCCCAGGAGTTGGAGGTTGCTGTGAGCTGTGTGATG